CTTAGTCAACCATAAATTCAAAAGACTTATCATAAAAATCATGGCTGATAAGAATAACAATCATAGTCGAATATGGAATTAAGAAGCCTATGTCAATAGGCACAATATGTATATAAGATCATCCCACGATCCATGGCATAGATAGAGTTATATCCTCAAATTTATAAGTTGTTCCCAATAATTGACCTAGTTTTGTAAATTTGGGAAGGCTATACTCTAAGGTTTCGAGGGCTGCACTTCTTATGATTATAGTTATTTAAAAGGTACACTAAAATAACCATGTAGCAGAAAAAGCACACGAAAATAACCATACAACATGAGGTGTCTCAGTGTTGCTATGACAAGGAAGGTGGTGCCTTTAATTTATGTCTGCTTTCTATCGTGTTATAGAGGGTTAAAAGAAAGCCATATGCAGAAGCATGAATTGAAAAACATAATCTCTTTATAAAGACTGATTAAAAGATATAGAACCAAGATACTTTAATTTCGCGAAGCTTATGCACGTGATTTGTGCTTAACTATTCAATTTGGACCATGTAGTTTTGTTCTATAAACACTAATATGAATAATAACAATTCTATGTCTTTAAGTTCAACAAGAGTATTGTCCACCAACCAGTGTGTTTTGATTCATGTTTCGAAGACAAAGGAATATGACTCCATGAGATCAAGGACATAGTTTCATTGAGAGATAATGTAGAAATAAAGTTCAGATTCCATATGCAGCCGAGTTTCTTCATTGATTGCATGAACTATTATGATCCCGCGCATTGTCCTCGGTGGACCGAGTCTAGGAGCAACCTTTTACAACGTGAATTCTAATTAAGTGATCTTTTGCATGCAGTTGATGGAATATGGACTAGGGTTTTATGATTGATAAAAAATATTGATTTGACATCAAATATTTAATGGAACCTGATGGCACAATTCAAGCATACAGATTAGAAGAAAACTTGCACACCAAAAGCATGTAGGCACTACGTATTATAATTTTTGTATGATAAAATTATAGCTCAATATGAAACGTAGAACCTGGACGTCTTGAATTTAGGCTGTATTCATACGATGATTATGCTCTGCTCTCCATGATCAAGGATTGAAGAAGACTCCCAATCCTGTATCCCCCTTTTCACAAAAGGTTTGTTGAAGGGTGAAGAACCCTAATCGGGTCCCACCGGGCATGCCACTTGACGAAGCATGGATTTGCTCCGATATCTCCAGTGGATTGAACCGGCGGCCATGACGGCTATGAAACCCTAAAACCTGCAAGACAGAGTCTCGGAGTCTCCCGAGGGTAGACTCTCCGATGCTTAAGTCAGTAAGAGTAATTGTAAGAGATGTATGAAATTGGGGTGTATAGACCGTACCTTTGATATGAGGGGGTGATCCTTATTTATAGAGTTAGGTTATGAAACCCTTTTTTGGTAGGAAAGTAATTATGAACCGAACTTGGGCAAGCCTAGTAGTGGGCCATATAATTAGGACTCGTCATTTCTCTTATGTGGTGGATTTCAGGAGATCGAATACAGAAGCAGAATGCGGTAACCAGTGCTTCAAAAATTGCACTTGTATAGCCTACGCGTTCAGAAAGGGTGTTGGCTTTATGCATTGGAGCAGTGGCCTACTAGATGTGCAACAGTTCACCGCAGATGGATCTGATCTATATGTTCGCGTTGCTCACTCTGATCTCGGTAATAAATTTCTCTGCAATACTATTCAATCCTCAATTTCATGATCTGCATTGTGCAAAATATGAATTTTCTCAAAGGATATTAATTAGTGTGTATTTGCAGTTATGAAATTGGATTGATCCATGATAAATACTTACATGTTTCTACCTAGAGGATTTCAGAATGTTCAAGTGACAGCTGACAACTTGTTACTTTCACGGTCTTAATATGCTTCACTCTTTATGTATTCTCTATCCAGATCATAGCAAAAGGATCAGAAATGTAGCGATCATCTCATGCGTAGTGATTTTTGTATCTCTCTCCATTATTGGATTGTTATTATTCATAATTTGCAAGTCGTTTGCTAAAAGTAGAGGTAAACATTTTCTGAAGTGACTATTGTGCAATCTGCATTAATATTGCCTATGTGATAATCTTTGTTCACACAATTTCAAGCAGTCCAAATTAGCAAGATGAAAGCCATGCTCGCCAAGAATGAGGAGCTTAATCTTTACAGTTATGATATATTGGCTAATGCAACGGATAACTTTCATCCTCAAAATATGCTTGGAAAAGGCGGTTTCGGTCCAGTGTACAAGGTAATGTTTGATGTTTGGTAAATAAAGCACGCTTGGTTCTCAGTCTAGTAAAAACTTGATCATCATGCATGGTGCATTTGCAGGTGGAAATTGCTAAATGGACTGGAAATTGCTGTGAAAGCTCTTTCAAACTCGTCTACTCAAGGGAATGAAGAGTTTATGAATGAAGTTATACTGATTTCTAAACTCCAACACAGGAATCTTGTTAGACTCCTTGGCTGTTGTGCTGAACGAGAAGGAAAAATGCTCATGTATGAGTACATGCCGAACAGAAGCTTGGATGCATATCTATTTGGTAATTAAGTAACTAGATGAGAATAGTTACTTCTGTCCTTTTATCTAGCAGGATAGTTCTGTATACTAATTTGAGTCACCAACAATTTTGCATTTGTTTTCTTCATTGTGGCTAAATACAGACTCAAACGGGCAAGTTTTTGTTGACTGGAGAAGGTGTAAAATCATTATAGAAGGAATTAGTAGGGGCCTGCTTTATCTTCACAGAGATTCGAGACTGAAATACATCCATAGGGATCTTAAAACAAGTAACATCCTCTTGGATGCAGAGTTCAATGCAAAGACATCTGATTTTGGCTTAGCAAGAATTTTTGGAGGCAACCAAGATCAGGCTAATACGAATAGAGTCATTGGAACATAGTAAGCACATACTTTCTCCTGTTATGAAGGGTTTCTGATCACCCTGTTGCTCCCAGAAATGCCTTTTTTGAGAGATTAAATTGGTGATAACTATACATGTCTCTACTATAATCTGATGCAGCGGATACATGGCCCCCAAATATGCAATGCAAGGAAAATTTTCAGAGAAGTCTGATGTCTACAGCTTCGGAGTTTTGTTGTTGAAGATTTTAACTGGAACCAGAATTGTAAGCTTCTACAGTGCCCAAAATGATCTAAGCCTAATAGGACATATAAGTCTACTTGATCCACCTTCCATATATATCTCAAATGCCTCATTTCTCATATCTAACTAACCATTTTCCCTTCCCCCCTGAAATCTCAACATATTTAGGCCTGGACGCTGTGGCATAACAAGGAGACCGCAAAATTTATGGACCCGAAAATATTTGACGAACACAATGAGATGGAGATGTCAAGGTACATCCACATTGGCCTGCTGTGTGTGCAAGAATATGCAATAGACAGCCCAAACATGGCTTCTGTTCTTTCAATGCTCAACAGTGAAATAGCGGAGCTGCCTCGCCCCAAGTTACCCGCTTATGCAGGAACAAGTGAACGTTCTCAGCAAAATGTACCATCCTGCAATGATGTTACTCACAACTCTACTAGGGAGATAAGCAAACTGCAGTTTACTATGTACTGTAACCGCTTATATGGCATTTTTGTGATTAGTGATAATGGCATAGTTTCACTTATAGAAAAATATGAATTGAACAAAAAAAAAAAAAAAAAAAAGGTTGGGACAGACAATCACGTCAGAGAAAATCCCCAATGCAAGCAGAATAATTTGATGGTTGAATCATTTTCCTTCATAGCGAGAGCAGTGAGCAAGAGAATTGATTAAGATCCAGGGCCATAAAATTGGAAATCTTGATTATCCTGTTATGAATTAAAAGACTTTCGATAACACTGAAGTAAAAAAACATTTAAATACATGTCACTTATTATTATTGGCTTTCATAACATGATTTGTGCACAAAAATTGAGGCAAATTGTCTCACGTAACTCGAACTTATTTTGGGTTCAGTACCTAAAGCTCCTAAGTCATTCGCGCCAATCTAGAGGATGTGATAGGATTCAGCTTTGGACTGTGGACTAGAGAAGCTATGAATACACGTTTGGGAAGAAAAATCAATACCACAAAAAAAAAAAAAAGCCATATGGAGCCCTTCTTCTGCTAGGCTTGACTTTCTGCTGCTAATAACGCGTCTGTGTACTTTTTACTTTTTTAGGGAAGTTTAGGCTCGAAACAGAATGTCAGTTTGACCAATTGGACCAATTATTAGTTGTCAATGTTTCTTAGTTTTTACTCCATCCATTCCAAAATAAGTGTCGTTTTGGCAAAATGGAGAAATTCTAAAATAAGTGTCGTTTTCGGATTCCAATGCATTTTCTGTCAAAAAGTTCCAAACATACCCCCCAAAAAAATAATATTATTGGTGAACATTTATTTTAATGGGGTTGGTTGAGGATATTCTAATAATTTAGTTACCTTATTTAATGTTTTCTTAAACAATGTGCAAACTCTAGAATGACACTTATTTTGAAACGGAGGGAGTATTTTTTATCCAGACTTAATTGGCGGCTTATAAATAAGACCGAATTGAGTAACACTCACTAACAGTCATCCCATAGCACATATGACATGTCTTCTTTGTGATCGAGTGTATATTATAAATCTTGTTTTTTTTTTTCTTTTCAGGAAAAAAAAAAAGAAGAAAATTTCTGACGTATGAAGATTTACAAAGTCATTGTACTATTCATATAAGCCACCCATGGTTTTTTGCTTTATGAATTGGTAGATTTTCCCAATTATAAAGTCCCAAGTGTGAATGTAAATTGCCCAAGTTGATAAACTTATTATACTAGTCCACTTGTGTATCTCCCTCAGAAAATTCAACACTATAAATTTCCACCAAATATATACCATTAACTATAAGATATGGTTCATTAATTGTTAGCAGACAATCCAGAAAAGTATTGTTTGAATCTCTTCTCATAACAACATCAGATTTCTCTCCATTGATTAATGAAAGATGTTGAAGCTGACACAGTTTAAGCTGCTGGTTCTCTTGTTAGGCTTGTTCTATTTGGCAAAATGCAGTCTTTGTAGAGCTGCCGACACCATTTTAATGTCACAGCCCATTAAAGACCCTGAAGAAATATTGTCATCTGGGCACACATTCAAGTTGGGATTTTTCAGCCCGGAAAATGGTAGCGGTAATCGGTATGTTGGAGTCATGATGAATGTTCCTTCACAAACCGTGATATGGGTTGCTAACAGGGATCGGCCATTGAAGGATTCATCAGGGCTGATGACAGTTTCTGAAGATGGCAACCTTGTTGTCATGAATGGGCAAAAAGAGATACTTTGGTCATCCAATGTTCCGTTTCCTGTTGCGAATTCCAGCGCCCAATTATTGGATAACGGGGACTTGGTTTTGAGAGAAAACTCAAGTGGAAGGATATTGTGGGAAAGTTTTCAGGTTCCTGCAGATTCTTGGGTGGAAGATATGAGACTTGGGGGGAGTAGTAATGACAATATCAAGTTAACTTCATGGAGAAGTCCCTCTGATCCATCAATTGGGAATTTCTCTTTTGGGATGGACCCTTTAAGAATGCCTGAATTCTTCATTTGGAATGGAAGCAAACCTTACTGGCGCAGCGGTCCATGGAACGGTAATGTATATATTGGAGTACCTGGGATGTACTCTACATATCAGAATAAGTTCGAACTAGTTAATGAAAATGGGTCTGTGTTTTTCACTTATTCGTTTTTCAATGATTCAGCTTCATTCTATTATGTACTGAGTTCCTCTGGTGTTTTATTCGAGTATATATTGTACAAAGGAAATGGAAATTCCAAAGAAACTTGGAGAAGTTTACTCAGTGAATGTGATGTATATGGCATATGCGGTCCTCATGGAATCTGTGATCCAAAAGGTAGGCCGATTTGTACGTGTTTGCAAGGTTTCGAGCCGAGTGACAAAGAGGAATGGGACAGAGGAAACTGGACAGGTGGATGCTCAAGAAAGGCAATGCTGCAATGTGACCGGAGTAGTTCTCCTGTTCTGGAAGGGAAACCTGATGGTTTCATGAAGTTACAAAATGTGAAAGTTCCAGATCGTGCAGACCTAATCGAGTTCTTCAAGGCGAATACAGAAGAACAATGTAGTGATCTGTGCCGGCAAAATTGCTCTTGCAAAGCTTTTTCGTATAATAGAGGCATTGGATGTTTGCATTGGAGTAGCAGCTTAACTGATATACAACAGTTCACTTTTGATGGTGCAGATTTATACATTCGGTTATCCTATTCCGAGCTAGGTAACATGCTTCATTTTGCTTTTCATTTTTTTCCCTTTGACCTCAAGCATAAGCCAAATTTAATCCAAGTTTTCATTGATATGATTCTTGTTGAATTTTGAATTTCAAAGCTCTCATGTATCAGTTTTCTGTGTTTTTACCAAAAAAAAAAAAAAAAAAAAAAAAACAACTAGGAGACGCAAGCATTATGTTTAACTCAGTCGACCCTGAATTCTTCCTCCATTTTCCTTGAAATGCAGATCATGCTTTAGGTAAAGGAAAACAAAAGGCAATGATTGCAAGTATAGTGAGCATTGGATCTCTTTTAATTGTAATATCTGCATACTTGTTGTGGAAGTGCTTAGCTCATAGAGGAAACACATTGAAAATATCCAGAATGGGAGTTCCACTCGACAATTTAGATGCACCGAAGATTGAAGAGCTACCACTTTATAGCTTTCAAACACTGGCCAATGCAACTGATAATTTTGATTTGAAGAATAAGCTAGGAGAAGGGGGTTTTGGTCCAGTATACAAGGTTTTTCGAAATACCCAAGAACTGCATCTGATTGTATAGTGGAAAATAGAATGTTGCTGATATGTGGTGTTTATTTTACAGGGAAGGCTGTTAAATGGTCAGGAAATCGCAGTTAAAAGGCTTTCAAGTTCTTCTACTCAAGGGATAAAGGAGCTTACAAATGAAGTAGTGCTCATTTCTAAGTTACAACACCGTAACCTTGTAAAACTACTCGGCTGTTGTTTTGAGAGAGAAGAAAAAATGCTCATCTATGAGTATGTGCCAAACAAAAGCCTGGATGTGTACCTCTTCGGTAAGTGTTACATTTGATGAAACTTGTTTTCACTGGAAAGATTGCAGCTCTTTGAGATCGATTAGCATGTCAAGGGATGTGTAACACCAATTCGCCGTCCATGTTGGCTGTAAACTAACAATTCTTCCAACTCCTTCAGATTCACTGAAGTGCGAGTTACTTGATTGGAATCGAAGAGTCTTCATCATTGAAGGGATAGGTAGAGGCCTCCTTTACCTTCACAGAGATTCGAGATTGAAAGTAATTCATCGGGACCTGAAAGCAAGCAACATCCTGCTAGATAAAGAGCTGAATCCAAGGATATCAGATTTTGGCTTAGCCAGAATATTTGGAAGCAACCAGGACCAGGCCAACACAAACAGGGTTATCGGGACATAGTAAGTTCATGATCTTCAACTGAAACTCTTAGTTTTAACATGGACACAAAGCATCATGACCTAAATTACATGAATTTTAGTACTTAATGATTCCTAAATGGTGTGATGCAGCGGTTACATGGCCCCCGAATATGTGACGGGAGGTAAATTTTCAGAAAAATCAGATGTCTACAGCTTCGGAGTTCTATTATTGGAGATTGTAAGTGGCAAAAGAATCTGCAACTACAATGACGAGAACGAACTAAGCCTGATAGAATATGTAAGTTTCATTTCTTGTAACCGTTCTATTAGCCTGATAGAAGATCAGTCCATTTTTTCTAACGGTAACCAAAATTTTCAGGCCTGGAAATTGTGGAACGATAAAGAAGCCACAGAATTTAATTATCCAGCGCCCTCTGATCCAAGCACTTTAACGGAGGTCATGAGATACATCCATGTCGGCCTACTATGCGTACAAGAAAAGGCGAAAGATAGGCCGAACATCTGTACCGTCCTTTCCATGCTCAACAGTGAAATCTCTGAGCTCCCTCCTCCTAATTTCCCAGCTTATACTGCAAGATTCTGTGTCTCAAACAGTGAATTTTCTCAAGTCAGTTTGGATTCGATTAATAATGTCACCTTGACATCTGTCCAAGGCAGATAGCATGTTTTTCGATTCCTTTGTGTAAATATTTCTTTTACAAACACTAGTGAAAAAGGGAAGTTGAGAATGTGCATTTTCTGCAAATCACAAACTGCAAAATCTTTAAAGTGCCATAGCAAAGTGTACCCTGCAACTAGGCTGAAGTAGAAGCCAAAATATTCCCACCCTTGTCTTTGATCCACGGAAGACACAAAGACAGTAATACTGTTGTAGAAAAGAAGATTGTCAAGGGAAAATCATAACAAACCAGACAAGGAAAAAAGCTAAAAGAAAAATCTAGGCTTCCAGCACAAATGAATTGCCACTCGACCCATTTTGCCAGCCTTTCAATAAGAGCAACTTTATCCTACCATAGGATTCAGAGATCCCAGCAAAATAATTTTGACATCAAATTTAGACTCAAAGACAGAGACCAAATTCACCCACCTGACTCTTTTATGATTTTATAATGAGGATAATCTTTACTGAGGGGTAACAATTCTTGGATTGCCGTTTTGGTAAAGTTTGAAAGGAGACGCCAGATCAGCTCCCGTCCGCTCACCCTGAAAATTAATATGCCAAAAACAACCAAAAAAAAATTAGGTTAAGACAAACTACCCTACCTTCAAGTTTCCTTCGGTACTGTAACTCAATTCAATAAACTTGGGTGTCCGATTATTTTAGTCTCTAAAGTATTTTCCGACTCGATTCAACCAAAGTACGTTTGAGCGTCCTTTGTTCCTAGACCATATTTCAATCGACGGTAACCTACTCTACCGAAAAATAAAAATCATATCCCGAACTAATTTTAAATTTTAAAAAAAAATGTCGTTGAATGAAAAATTATGACCTTAACAAAAACAATGATAACAATCAGTCACGGGTCAAGGTTTTGGGAAATTTGATTTGAAAAATAAAAATAAATGAAAGTGCCTCTTCCTCATTTGTGAATCCCCCCATCACCGAAGTTGTTGTCGGTAGTAGACATATGTGAAACCTTGGAAGCAGTCAGATAATGTTAGGGTTTCAGCCTTTTCTTCCATCTATGGTGCTGCAGGAAAGGGGATCGGACTCGAAACTTATTACTTTCTCATCTCGAAATTATTGTTAGTCTTACTAATAATTTCGAAAAGAAAGAAATACAACTGAATATAATCCTTATAAGGTTATCAACATATATTATAATTGCTTAATATCTTGTAGAGTTTGGTAATCCCCAAGTGTGCCAATTGTATGTATCTTAGGCCTACGTATGAGACCCGGTTAGCTTTCCAACTTGGCAACTTCTACCATCGTTTAATTTCTTCATTCCAATCAAAAGCCCTTTATTCATTCCTTAAAGTCTGAACTGCTGTCTATCTTGCTGCCCACGGATCCATCTGTTGAGCTTTCACCAAATTTATAGCAAAAAAGCAATATAAAACAATCCCACTTTCTCTTGCTTGGGATCTATGGTTTTGTTGAATCAGTTCTTATTCCACCGATAACCTCCTATTTCCTTCTTCACTGATGAGTTTGATCCTTTCAATTAACCGAAATCAGATAATGAATATGTCGACCAAAAGAAGTATTTGAACGGACGTCCCTATTGACTATTTTATGGTGTCGATGATTTGATATCTCACTTTGGCACAAATTTTGACAAACTCCATCCATCCATTCTGTATAATTCGATGATTACTTCAAAACAACATTTCATCATGTACAGATCCACAAAAACCAATCTATATACTGCACTCAATTACTCAAAACAAATAATAAAGTAAATTTTATCACGTGCGCGTTCAAACCTTCTAGTAGCTACATAACGCCACAAATAACAACGACAAAGCCCAATGTTCTTTTTTCCTTAAAAGCCCAGTGTCTGGGATTCAACTATTTTTTCTTTTCCGAGAGCCAGAACGCACTAAAGATATGAACACAACCACTTTCTTGTTTGTTTGAAAAAAGTTATTTATTTATTTTTTACTGAACCTTTTGTCACTATCTAAATTTTCAACCTTTTTGTCTTTGATTCTAGTCAGAAAAATCTACACTAGATGACTGTCGGGATAAAACTTTCACCAGATGAATGATATGATGCATTTTGTAAAATTTAATAAAAATAGTGATGTTTTCTTGACCAAATATGTATGCAGAATAGTACGATGATAGACGAAAAACTATTGTAGCTGCATATTGCATGATGCTTTTCTCAGTTGGATCACCCATGAAGAGATCAACAAGTCTGAAATCCTTTCTGTTTCTGATGCTGTTTTCTGCTTCCATCTGTTTATTCCAAGATTGCAGTGCTGCAGACACAATTTCGATCACAAATCCCCTTCAAGATTCAGAAACTATAATTTCCTCAGGTCAAACCTTCAAGTTGGGATTTTTCAGCCCAGGAAACACCACCAACCGATACGTGGGAATCATGGTTAATGTTCCTGATGGTCCTGTTGTTTGGGTGGCTAACAGGGACAAACCTCTGACTGATTCTTCAGGGCTTCTAACCATTTCGGGAGATGGAAATCTTGTGGTTTTGAACGGGAAGAAGGAGATACTGTGGTCATCGAATGCGCCAAATCCCGTGGCCAATTCAACTGCTCAACTCCTGGATGATGGTAACTTAGTCTTGAGTTATGATAATTCAACAGGAACAAGTGTTTGGCAAAGCTTTCAGAATCCGACAGACACTTTCCTGCGGACGATGAAGATTGGTGAAGTTGCGAATCGTTCTATCCAACTAACATCATGGAGAAGTCCATCTGATCCATCCACTGGAAATTTCTCACTTGGTGTCAACTCTTTACGCATCCCGGAACTATTTGTTTGGAACAGAGGTGTCCTTTATTGGCGCAGTGGTCCCTGGAATGGTCTCAGTTTCATTGGGATACAAGGAACGAATGGTATATATAAAAATCAATATGGTCTCATAACAGATAATGCTGGAACAACATATTTTACCTTTGACTATCTGGATACTACTGCTTTGTTGCACTACGAATTGAGTTCCTCAGGAAATTTCCAGGAGAAGCAAAGAGATGAAAATGGTCACTGGTATGTATCATATTCTTGTGTGAGTAGTGAATGTGATGAATATGGCAAATGCGGACCAAATGGAAGATGCGATCCTAAGGCTTCACCAATTTGCTCATGTTTGCAAGGATATGAACCGAGAGACAATGAAGAATGGAGCAAAGGAAACTGGAGTAGTGGCTGTTCAAGAAAGGCACCTCTGCAATGTGAGAGAAACAATTCTGCGGGACAACAAGGTGAAGGAGATGGCTACTTGAAGCTCACAAGTGTTAAAATTCCTGATCTGTCCAACTTCATCGTAACTTCACAAGAAAATTGCAGTATTGACTGCTTGAAGGATTGCTTCTGCTCAGCCTATACGTTTGTTACGGGCATTGGATGTCTACAGTGGAATGATAGCCTGATAGACGTACAACAATTTTCCACTAATGGCGCAGACCTATACATACGCGTAGCGTATTCTGAACTCGGTAACAACCTTACTCTGTGGTAGTTGAAGGGTGGATGACAAAGAAAATAACATATTCAAGATTTTACACAATACTAGTCTTTTTGTTGATCTTTTATGGTTTTTATAGATTCATTTTCATTCACTTTACTGATTGGACCCTTTAAAATGAAGATCATACTAAGAGCAACAAGAAAAAGAAAGCGGTCATTGCAAGTACAGTTAGTGTGGGATGTTTACTCCTTGCAATATCATCTTTCTTGTCGTGGAATTGGTGTATTAAGCATAGAGGTAATAACCTGAATTTATCAGAAATGACTGTTTATAATCGTGACGCCCACGTTTACATCAGTTTTTGGTTCACAAATCAGGGAAGAGGCAAGAAGCTGAGTTGTCATTAATTGATCCAGGGGAAGGATGGAAAACAGAAAAAATGCCGAGTGATAATTATGAAAAGCCAAAGCTTGAAGAGCTGCCACTATATGGCTATGAGACACTAGCCAATGCAACTGAGTATTTCCACAACAAAAATAAACTAGGCCAAGGAGGGTTCGGTCCCGTTTACAAGGTACATCATATTAGTTTGGAATACCGAAACAAAGCAAATTCTTTGTCACCATACATAATAATTTTGCAGGGAAAGCTTTCAAATGGTACCGAAGTTGCAGTGAAAAGGCTTTCAAATTCTTCTAGCCAAGGGTTACAGGAGTTTATGAATGAAGTTTCAGTCATTTCTAAACTGCAACATCGGAATCTCGTTAGACTTCTTGGTTGCTGTATTGAACAAGAAGAGAAGATGCTAGTCTACGAGTACATGCCTAACACAAGCCTGGATGCATATATATTCGGTTAGTTGAATGATAGTTCTCTTACTACTTTACAAGTTATTGTAGTTGCATTAAAAATTTTTAGTATAGCGTCATTTTAATCCCCCACGAAAACTGACAGCTATATAGTAATAGCCTTATGGCACTACTTTTTATAAAGCATATCACACTGCAGTACTTTCACAATCTGCCAATTTTCAGATTTGCGGAAACAGGACTTACTAGATTGGAATAGAAGGTGTATGATCGTGGAAGGAATAGGTAGAGGCCTCCTCTACCTTCACAGGGATTCAAGACTGAGAATCATTCATAGAGATCTGAAAGCGAGTAACATCCTCCTTGATGAAGAGCTGAATCCCAAGATATCAGATTTCGGGTTAGCAAGAATTTTTGGAGGCAAACAGGATCAAGCCAACACTAGCAGGGTTGTAGGCACATAGTAAGTGTCAGATATATGGTCTTACATTGGTTTCTAAGACACTTAATCACTAATTAATATAACCATTTGGTCAACTCATTGCTAATTAGTTTTGAATTGGACGTTTTAGCAGAGCACCTAATTGGTAGTCAAAAGCCATATAAAACATGAAAGAAACCATTTCATTCTAATTAAGCTAACTGGTATATTACAATCTACTGACTTCACTGACGCTTCTTCTGACGGATGGAATACAGTGGCTATATGGCTCCAGAGTACGCAATGAGGGGAAAATTTTCGGAAAAATCAGATGTCTACAGCTTCGGAGTTTTGCTATTGGAGATTGTGAGCGGAAAGCGGAATACTAGTTTCTTCCATGAGGAGGAGAATCTAACAAGCCTGCTAGGATATGTAAGCTTCCTTAAAATTTGAGTTCCCATTTAGGAGAACCTCAACCATTTACAAACTTTCACTTTCTAACATAACACTGGAAGTTATAATAACATTTCACAAAATACTCATCACTCATTAACAAAATACACCTCATATTTTCAATATTGTACTTTCACCCCTGACTTTCATGATCTAACCGGAATTTTCAGGCCTGGAAACTCTGGAATGACAATCAAGCAGTAAATCTGGCTTTTACCGAGGGATTTGATTCAAGCACGGAAATGGAAATCCTGAGATATGTGCATGTTGGGCTGTTGTGTGTTCAAGAATCGTCGGACGATAGACCAAACATGTCTACCGTTCTTTCGATGCTCAACAGGGAAATCGGGGACCTTCCTCCTCCCAAGTTACCAGCTTATACTGCCAGAATAATTTCTCACTCGGAAGACCATTCTCCACAGAGTGAACGCCATTCAGTAAATGATCTTAGTTTAACAGATGTCCATGGAAGATAGCTAGCTCAATCTGCAACGATATATATGTACACAGACATCATATACATACATTGTTTATAGTGGTTCTTTGCTCGTTGAATACATGACCCGGAAAAATGACAATTATGACGAAATTTCAATCAACACAAAATCTTTGCACTCATAGCTGATTAACCTTTAACTTGCTTGTTGAGTTGACTGTGATTGAACTTCTCCTGACTGCATTGGTGCGTGTAATGATAAAGGAAGACCAATGTACTGTTCAAGAATCTGCAGAGTATAGACCAATGTATGTCTAATGTTCTCCTCTCAATGCTCAACAGCACCGACAGGGACAACTTCTTAGGTTAAAGGAAGACCAATCATGTGAATCTTCAGAGTAGACGAAGACATTTCATTTGGTTATAGTGAGCTTAGTGTAAAATGCATTTCATTTTTCTTTCTTTTCTTTATTAGACTAACCAACCAAAACTATAAGGCTTCAAAAATCTTCACAATCCTGGTATTCACTGGTTTTTAATACTGTTATTTCAATGCTCAAAAGTGAGGTGATGTCTCCTTTTTTTCCCCTTTTTTTTTTTTAAACTCTGAGCTTCTTTAGCTATTGATCAACATCACAGACCTGGGCCACTGTTACAAAGACTTGGCAAAATCAATATCCTCCCTCGCTTAGTTTCACCTGAAGATGTCTCCATTGCTGCATATTCGATCCTGCAGGCAGAGCCATTTTCGGGTGAACTTTTTTCTTTGTTCCATTGTTTCATTTATATTGTTCTTCGAATGCTCAAAATTGAAGTTAAAATTTTTTAATACGTACTATGTTCTGCACGCCTGCAAACCCCCTCCCCTTTTTTTTTATTGCGCGCATCATATATTTTTATAATATTTTGTTATTAACTGTTTAGTGTTTTAAATTATTTTATTAATGGTAAATATTTATTAATTATTTTAATCCTTATACTTAAATAAAAGGCACAGTAGGCAAGAAATAATGCCCAAGAAATATTCAAGGACTACTGTCAAATCGATCTTGTCCGTCGGATAGGGTTGATGTGATGTCAGCGACTTATTAAGGGCAAAAACGAGAATTCAAAAATTCAGTTTATTCCAATTAAAAAAAACCCGTAACCTTTTGAAAAAAAAACCCCTAACCTATAAAAGGATGTCGTTTCAGGATTTAACTTTGGAATCCCCACTCCTGAAAATTACAATATATTTACAAAACCTGAGTTGATATGACGTCAGAGACTTATTAAGGACAAAATCAAAATTTCATAAATACAGTTCCTTACTAAATTTTAAATTTAAAACCGGAAGCTTCTAATAAGAAATCCCCCACCTCCCAAAACGACGTCGTTTCGAGGAGTTTATATAAAAATTCCGGAAGCTTTAAACTTTTGATGGAAAACCCTCCACCTCAAAACTAGGGGTAAAATTGTAAATTCAAAAATAACTTCTTTGCTGTTTTCCTTTAAAACCCCAAAATATTTTAGTAAAAAGCCCTGAATATTTTTGGCCCTGAATATATCTTGATTGCCGCCCCCCTCCCCAAACCTAACCCATCACCGTCAATTGAATAAAAGTAGCTACCAAAATTCAGACGGAGATCCAAGCGAATTTTTCCCCTTCTCGTCCCACCATCGTGCCAATAGGAGGTGATGACTACTCCGATCAACTCAGAAGCCGGGATTGGCAAGATTTCAACCCGTTCATTAATTATGAATGGTGCAGAAGTCAGCTTCAAAACATGCTAATTAATCCATTGTCAACCGAATCTGAGGATGGGTCAAAATCGACAGAAAACGGGGGGAGGTTTCTTCAATTCTGGAACTCTACGATGGTCATATGTTGAAGTTCCAGATTCACCGCGATCTTCATGGAGCCTTTGCATTGCGAGAGATCAACAACGTTCAATCAACGTCCTGGATCGGCCGCCGTTCCGGCCCTTTCCAGTGTTTCCTTTGTCAAGGCTTCCAATTCTGGAATCTACTCCAACAAGCTCGTTGAAACCGCTGTATGCTCTCTTTCCAGTTTTTTCCTTTTCAATTTCGTAATTTTCTCGTTGAGTTTAATTTTTTTTTTCTCTAAGCAGCTTTCTCTAAAATTTGAACTTCACTTTTGGTTTTGTAATAATTCAGTTCTGATTCTGTTGGGGGTAGCTTATTATAACCATAATGACGTCATCTTTGTACTTAGAAATTCTTTAAGTTAGAAAGAAATTAGGCAGTTGAAAAGCTTGGCCTTATTAGTCTGATAATTATAGTATTGCTTCATCCTCATGTATTTTTTTTTTCTTTTTTGTGTGTGTTCGTATGATCATAGGGAAGCCTGCCAGCGCCCTTTAAGTAGATACATTATAATAATGTATTTAGTGTTTATGAAGTCTCTCTGTTACTTACTTAATATTGTTTTATAGCATCAAATATAGTTTGCCTAATATTGTTTTATTTTATCCAACGAGCTCGCTTCTGCCCTGCTAATTGCTCGTTGCTTGCACATTGCCTCTCCCTTCTTTTGGGTAAAAGGTGATGCTTGATCGGTGATCAGATGCTCTGTTTATTGGTTTGGTTGTAAGCAGATAGACAATCAGATATTATGATATGGAAGTCAACCAGGTGAGCTATCATCTTCCTTTTATAAATTCTTTATTGACAATTTGTTGGATCAGTTTTTTATCATGGTGCTTTTTAAAAATTTCTTAAGCTGGCTACGTTTGGTAAGAATAAATTATTCTTGACATGAAGATGAAATTAATGTAAAATTACATACCCCCTTGACTTTCTGTCTAGCCTGGTTTTTAATTGTTGTTATCCGTTCTTGACTGAGTTTCTGACAATGCTCGTTGTCAATTTAGTTTCTGGATTTTGTATGTTGTGTTTGTTTAGTCCTGCCCTAGAGATATGAGTTTATCAAACAAGATACAAATAAATGTGATGTGTCATATGCTTCCACCATGTAATTTTTGCTATGTTTATGTGTTTTTTAGATGACAAAGCATCATTTATCTTCAAGAATAGATGGGATGGATGGGAAGGAGCTCTCTTTTCTAGGCATGAGTGGTAGCTATTCTCTTTCACTACAATGCACTTATCATGAGTGTTAGAGAGCCTAGCTATTGTTGGTCCATAAGTTATTTTTTAAAATATTACATAGTTTCCAATAAAGGACATCGATAGAAGCTGTCAATGTGATCAGGTATGAATAAGATGATTAAAAATCATATGGAAGATTTTGTGACAAATGATGCTGCTCCTATTGCCAATGAGCTTGAGGTTCAGAACCTTGCTGCTAAGATTTTGGTTCTAGTTGGGAATGTCTAGCTGCCAGGAAATTGGTGATGCAACCAATCTATGTGTATCTTTTGATCTCTTCAAAATGTTGAGGAGCTCATTCGGATGAGCCTCCATCCAAGTAAGATCATTATTAGATACACCAAGGCAATCAACGAGGTTTGCTCTCCCTACTTATCCATAGATTTTATGTATTGTTGTTGCTCTACATGCTTATCCATAGTCTCAACCTTGTTGGTGGTGCCCATGTTTGTTATTTCCTTACTGTAGTTGTCATTAGCTCTCTTCAACCACATTTAAATTGCAATCTCTCACCTGCTTCTCATTTTGTGTGCGTAATCTTTTCGTTGATAAGTAACATGCAATTAATTTTATAGCCTTTTCTATAATTCTCTTTCTGCTTTTTCTTTGCTTATATTTCATAGAAGGCAGCATTCACTTCTTCCATAAAAAGCTGTCAACCTAAAATGTTTGACCTTTTGATTCAAGGAGCTTTTATGCTGTTTTGGAGGTTTTGGTCATGATATATTTTTCAATTTGTCTTGTTGTCAAGCAGAGAAAAGTAAACTTATCCAAGTTTGGTTTATCAATAATGGTACTCATTTTTCTGGGGCTAAAACTTTGTTACGGTAACACATTCAAAGGTTAATTTTGGTAAAAAGTGTAACAATTCAATTTTCTATTTTGTAATTTTCAGCACATTGTGTCTCTTTTGTGTAATTAAATCATCTTATAGTGGATGTGTTACAAAAGTGTAACAAAAAGTGTAACAAACTGCAGACTGATAACTTTCTCATGCTTTGGATCTGTTCTCCTTTCCATTTAACTTCTATTATACATTGTTTACGTATTGTTTACGTTTAGCTTCCCGTATTTTTTCTTTTGTTTTCATATGCTCGTGCTTTTATTGTGGTTGTTTATGTGTATTCACTATCATGAAAACAACCCTCTCTATCTCTTTCAATGAGAACAACCTCATGTATAATTCTTTTACATCTTTGCCCGTTTCCTCTTTTTACTGCATAATTTGTTGAGTAATGTTATTTTGTTGAATTTTTGAGCCTGTTTTTTTTTTTTTCTTTTGAATGCCTCGATTATTTTTGAAGTGATTTTGACTCTGACTTTCACAAGAGGAAGGAGAAGAGGAGAAAAAGCCTCAGCAGAAACAACACGAAGCTGAAAGGGAAAACATATAAAACCCTGCAGAAAGGTTTGACTTTTTTTCCTTTATACTATTGATTCCACGGTTAATTTTTCTAAATTGTTTGTAGCACCTCATACTGTTTTAGCCACCCTTATTGGCTATCCTGTTTCGATATTCAATTGCTATGGGGAAATTAGCATCTAATTTTGAGTTGGACCGCTCACTCTATTGCACGAGTGAATGATTTCAACTATGCAGTTGTCTGTTTTTATTTTATATGCTGGTACTTCTAAGACTATTTAACTTATATGCATTTTCTGAAAAAAGTGAACAATCTTGAACATGATAAAACTTTGCAAATTTTGATGACTAAATAATACTTAATCTTCTGCTGTCTTTCTATATTATCCTTGCTCCTTCTTCTTCCTTAGAGCAAGTTGTTTCAAAAATATCTTCCATTTAAACTTTGCATGATTGTGTTTTAAAGAAAGTTGTTGCCCTGTTTTGAATAAAAAGGAATTTTCCTAAATCTTCTATATGTGTAGAAGTTGATTTAGGGATCCTTAGGAATGATGTTTTACCCCCATTTGAGACTAAAATGAACAATTGCGGGTGGCCTTCTGTTTGATTCACAAGCAAGTTCTTGTATCGTTATATACTTTATAAAAAATGACCTATTTTCTTGCAAACCTGTAATCATTTTTGGGAAGAACAAATGAAATTATTGGTGAAGTTTGGGAGGATTCTTCCTCTTTTAGTGGTTCTCTCTCTCTCTCTCTCTCTTTTTTTTTTTTGCGGTGTGATCTTATTGATTGGATGTTAGAACTTGTGTTTTTAATCTTTTAATTGTGCTTTAGATCATGTATAATCTTTGGGTTTCAATTTTCCCAGCCCTTTGTAAATGCATGGAAACAATCTTGTACTAAACCAAGGAAAGTGTTTTTTGCTCCTCAACGAAGATATAATTTGGTGAATGCTAAAAGATTTAAATAAAGGGCCATGTGAATCTAATCTATTGTAATGTTCATCTTACGATCTTAAATTCCCCGTTTCTTCGTTTTGAGTTCTCTAATTTTCTGCTTCTATTCTTTATGAATTATCACGTCTCTGTAACCTTTATATATTGAAATTAACTGAATTAGGAGAATGATCATCCAAGGTATACCGGAATAGTTCTAATATTCGCATTCTGTTTTTCCTTGTTGTTGCACCAGATCTATAATATCTTCCAGTTTCTTCCAACAAAAGTCCAGGTTGGAGTTTTCTCTACAACAATGCAACCTGAAGCCCTGAGATTACCAGAAAATTTATGAACAAACCTGTTAGGATTCTGGTGAACCACAATGAGCTTACTTTAGAAGGTATAAAGCAGTTCTATGTGAATCCTGACAAGGAAGATTGGAAGCTCGAAAACACTATGCAACCTGTATGAGACCTTAGCCATCACTCAGAGTGTCATTTTTGTGAACACACAGCACAAAGTCGATTGGCTTACTGACAAGTTGCGAGGCCAGGATCATACAGTTTCTGCCACACACGGCGACATAGATCAGAACACGAGGGTTATCAAAATGAGCGAGTTCCACTCTGGATCATCTCGGGTGCTGATTACCACGGAACTGTTGGCGCAAGGGATCGATGTCCAATAGGTTTCCCTTGTCATAAACTATGATCTCCCTACTCAGCCTGAGAATTACCTTCATCGCATTGGTCGTAGTGGATGGTTTGGGAGGAAAGGAAAGGCCATTAACTCTGTTACCAAGGAGGACGAAAGGATGTTGTATGACATTCAAAAGTTCTACAATATGGTAGTAGAAGAGCTACCATCAAATGTTGTTGATCTCCTCTAGACAAGTTTGTGTTTGTAGCTAGCATTTTTAATTGATTATAAATACTTTTTTTGTTGAGATTTTGGGATAGAAGTTTTTGCACTGTTTTCTGGATTCTTCCCTTCCTAACAGGTTTTATACGGCAGTTAATTGTTGACTTTTTGAGGCTAAATGCTTTTTCAGCTTTTGTTTTTTGAGGTTTTAGTGATTGGTGTTCTATTTTGTGTACTCCGATATTAGGGCTTTTTCCATTAAAGTAAAACGCAAGAATTTCATTTGGAGATGCTGGGAAGCGTTTTATCTGGAATGACAAGATCCAATTTAGTTAATATCTCAGATCACATGTTTCTTCAATCTTAATTAATTAAGGAAAAAAAATTTGAGGTTAGAGATTAGGCATGGAAAAATAACTTTTCTAAATTTGGTAACTGCATTTTGCAAAGTGCCAGTTAAATTAAAATAATGTATGTGTGACTCTTTCTTGCAAGATGGTAAAAAGAGATGTTCAATATCAATGCGTCATAAAATTATTACAAGAGCGGAAAAATTTATATTCATTTGCACTCTTAAGTATAACGAGAAAAATTCAACCAAACATGAAGTACAAAAACACAAAACAAAAAGATCGGAGTAAAAGAATTCATATATGCACTGGTCGTGCAACGCGCGACGAGTAAAAGACTAGTAATTATTTAGTGTAGTAGTTTCTATACATTTATCAATAATTTTTATTTTACTAATAATATTTTTTTTATCTTACTTATTTTTGCATATATTTATTAATTGTTTAGGTAATGTTATTTTTTTATATTGAATATATAATTAGTTAGTTTAGGAGTATTACTGATTTTTTATTATTCTAATTAAATTGTGTAGGGTTCGAGATGTGACTGGACGATTACAGTAGCCATTTCGCCGCTGCAGATATATTTGAGTTCACTACGAAAACAATTTCTTAGGCCAAATCAGTGGAACGCTTTTTCCACCCTCTTGACCGTGTTCGCCCATAGTGTTAATTGTCCAAACATAGTTAAAGGGTTAAAAATTAATAAAGATTAGAAGGTGAAATGATTTAAAATAGTTTCAATGGATTTATTTTAAAAATTATACAAATAAGGGTAAAATTTAATAATTCGCACGTGAATAAATATTATGTGTGCTACGTTTAGTATTTTCCGACAATAATAAGTTCAAGCCTGACGAAAGTTCGAGAGGTGGTTCAACCGACATCTTAGAAGTTTCTAGGACAATTTTGTAATTATATTCCTATCAAGAAAGAATTTTATTTAAATAGGGATAATCCATCACATTAAAGATACGCTCTATGCACCCTAATATTAACTCTCGATTATTATTTGAGAACATTAATGATTGAAGCACCCGAAAATCTATCCTCGGAAAATCCCGAAATAACATTATTGAGTTAAACATTGAAAAGTCTACTTCTGCGAGATTTCGAGACTGTCTTGCAGGTTTTAGGGTTTTGATGCCATCATGGCCATCGAGACAATCAACCGAAGACGTTAATCGAACTAAAAAGTATGTTGGTTTAAGGGTTTTGATGCCGGTTTCGATTCATGAATTGACTGTTCACGGTTTAAGAAACGGATGAAGTTTAACCAGCCCTTAAGTTCGTGGTTACGGTTACGATTCATAAATCTCCAGTTAAGGTCCAGTTCGGGATCAGTCTCGGTTCCAATCACTTCGGTTCGTCGATGGTTTTAATTCGGTTTTTAACGATTGTACAGTGGTTTCTTAATTCTTTGACTACTGAAAATTATTACCAAAAAAAATGCTGATTTTATTTCCAAGCATCAGTCTCCTATGAATTTGTTTCAAATCATATCAAAAATAAAAAACGTATGAAATCCCAAACAGGGGAACCAACATTCAAAGCATTTGTAACTAACTTCTGCAGACTAGTTACAGGGGAAAAACCCTGTTTTACTGTAATTGAAAACTGAATATTGATAAAGCAAGACTGACCTCTGCTGGGCAACGCCCTCCATGTGGAGAACTGAGGTTTCAACGACGCTTTGGGAAAGGTTGATTGAAAGTTGAAGTTTCTAAAGATTTTGGACTTCGTCAAATTTGGTGCCCTTGAATATTCTTCCCCATCAGCTTAAAAAAAACAGGTGTTTTTCTTTTTCTAATCTTTAGGAGGAAAAATTCGTCCCAATCAGAATGTTCATCTATATTATGCAGAAATTTCCTGGAACTGTACAATGCAATAGATTCCAACTCCATCCATCATGGGGTCCAAGGGTTGACACTTCCATTTTTCAGTTTCAGTTGCTTCCTCGGCCCCTAGTTTTTTTACACAACATATATATACACAAAGATGTATGAGATGAACATGAATCGGGAAGTCAGATGTATTAGAAAGCTTACATAATTATTTTTGTCCCTCCGTTACTATTTTTGCAAACATAAGTTTTTCCCCTGTAGGAGGAGTACAGATGAAGGGATCTATAAGCCTGTTAGGCTTCCTGCTTCCTGTTTTGTTGTTTGCTTCAGTATGTTTACGAGATTGCAATGCCAGAGATACTGTTTCAATAACAAATCCTCTTCATGATTCAGAAACTATATTCTCCTCAGGTCGAACTTTCAAGTTGGGATTTTTCAGCCCTGGAAACACCACCAACCGATACGTGGGAATCATGTTTAATGTTCCTACAGCTACTGTTGTTTGGGTGGCTAATAGGGACAATCCTTTGAATGACTCCTCTGGGGTTCTTACCATCTCAGGAGATGGGAATCTTGTGGTTTTGAACGGGAAGAAAGATATACTGTGGTCTTCGAATGCGCCAAAGCCTGTGGCCAATTCAAGTGCTCAGCTCTTGGATGATGGTAACTTAGTCTTGACTGATAATTCAACCGGAACAAGTGTGTGGGAAAGCTTTCAGAATCCGACAAACTTTTTTCTTCGCAAGATGAGTATTGGTGAAGTTGCAAATAGTTCCATCCGGCTAACTTCATGGAGAAGTCCATCTGATCCGTCCATTGGAAATTTCTCTCTTGGTGTTAACTCTCTGCGCATCCCAGAATTTTATGTTTGGAATAGAGGTGTCGTTTATTGGCGCAGTGGCCCGTGGAATGGTAATATATTTATTGGGGTACCGGCAATGACTGCTATCTATAGAAATCAATATGATCTTGTGGGGAATGACGATGGAACGGCATACTTTACCTATGACTACATCAATACTACTACTTTGTTGCACTATGAGCTGAGTTCCTCTGGAAATCTCCTGGAGAAGGAACTGAATGATAATGGAGACTGGAACATATCATATTCATGTGTGAGTAGTGAATGTGATGAATATGGAAAATGCGGACCAAATGGAAGATGTGATCCTCTCGCTTCACCAATTTGTTCATGTCTGCAAGGTTTCGAGCCCAGAGATGAGGCAGAATGGAATAAAGGAAACTGGAGTGGGGGCTGCTCCAGAAAGGCACCTCTGCAGTGTGAGAGAAACAATTCTGCAGGACGACAGGGCGAAGGAGATGGCTATTTGAAGCTCACAAATGTTAAAATTCCTGATTTGTCCAACTCTGTGGCAACTTCAGAGGGAAACTGCAGCAATGATTGCTTGAAGGATTGCTTCTGCTCAGCCTATACATTTGTTGTGGGCATTGGATGCCTGCACTGGAATGATAGCCTGATAGATATTCAGCAATTCTCTTCAAATGGAGCAGATCTATACATTCGTCTGGCGTCTTCTGAACTAGGTAATTAACTACTTACAGTGTACTGCTTTTGCAGGATGAATGACACTACACAACTTTCTAGTAATCTGTACAATTTTTGGAAATGCCATGTAGTTACCACGCCTCTTCTGAACTAGGTAACTACTTTTTGGAAAATGCACACCATACTTGGCTTTTGTTGTTCTTTTGTGGTTATCTGATACAGAATACATAACATTTTGTGAACTGATAAAACTAGATGACATGTCTAGGTTTTTCTTTTCCTTCAAACCTATTTGACTGCATGGACCTCTAAAATGCAGATCGTACTGAGAGCAAACAGAGAAAGAAAGCAGTCATTGCAGCCACGGTTAGCATGGCAAGTTTATTCCTTGCTGTATCATCTTTCTTTTTGTGGAATTGGTTGATTAAGCATAGAGGTAACAAACTAAACTCGTCAGAACTGATGTTATTATTCATTTTGTCTACATTTTCATCGATTTTTGCTTCACAAATCAGGGCGGAAGCAAGAAGCCAAGTTGTCGTTAGTTCAACCAAGGGAAGAATGCAAAACAGAAATGGTGCTGAATGGCAGTCATGTAAAAGCAAAGCTTGAAGAGCTGCCACTATATGGTTATGAAACACTAGCGAATGCAACTGAGAGTTTCCACAACAAAAGTAAACTAGGCCAAGGGGGTTTTGGTCCGGTGTACAAGGTATCTCGTGTGACTTGCAAAAATCATGGTATGGAAAACTCGAAACAAAGCATTTTACTCCATGCTTAACATTTCTACAGGGAAAACTTTCAAATGGTCCAGAAATAGCTGTGAAAAGGCTTTCAAACTCTTCTAGCCAGGGGTTACAGGAGTTTATGAATGAAGTTTCAGTCATTTCCAAACTGCAACATCGAAATCTTGTCAGACTCCTTGGTTGCTGCATTGAAAGAGAAGAAAAAATACTAGTCTATGAGTACATGCCAAACAAAAGCCTGGATGCGTATATATTTGGTTAGTTGACGATAGTTGGGTAGTTCAGTTATTTCAGTTTGGTGTCATTTTAATTAGGATGTGAACAGTGCTTATAACATCACATTATTTATTGACACTTTTCAGATTCTCGAAAACAACACTTACTTGATTGGCCTAGAAGGTGTACCATCATTGAAGGGATTGGTAGAGGTCTTCTCTACCTTCATAGAGATTCAAGACTAAGAATTATCCATAGAGACATGAAAGCAAGTAACATCCTCCTAGATGAAGATCTAAATCCCAAGATATCGGATTTTGGGCTAGCTAGAATATTCGGAGGTAAACAGGATCAAGCCAATACCAGCAGAGTTGTAGGCACATAGTAAGTTTCGGAGATAATTTATTACATTCATTTCCCAAGCTCACAATGACCAGTTAATAGGATATTTAGGTTTGATTACTCATTGCTAAGTAGATTCGAATTGGATGACCATACTTCTAATAGTAGTCAGTTATTGTTTCATTTGACTTTACCTCACATTCTTTTCACATAACTAATGGAATGCAGTGGCTATATGGCTCCAGAATATGCAATGAGGGGAAAGTTCTCGGAAAAATCAGATGTTTATAGCTTTGGAGTTTTGTTACTGGAGATTGTGAGCGGAAGGAAGAATACTAGTTTCTACCATGAGGAGGAGAATCTAATAAGCCTGCTAGGATATGTAAGCTTCCTTAAAATTTGAGTTCTCATCTAAGAAAATTTCAATCATTTACGACTTTATAACATAAGATATACACTTCTTAGAATTCATTAGTCATTTTGTTAGAGTTGTATGATTAACAAAACACGCCTAGTGTTGCATGAAATATCATACAAAATTATGATTCTCATCGTATTTCTGGAATTGTCAGGCCTGGAAACTCTGGAACGAAAATCAAGTGGTAAATCTGGCTTTTACAGAAGGACTGAATCCAAGCGCTGAAATGGAAATCCTGAGATGTGTGCATGTCGGACTGTTGTGTGTTCAAGAATCCGCGGACGACAGACCAAATATGTCTGCTGTTCTTTCGATGCTCAACAGCGAAATCAGAGACCTTCCTCCTCCCAAGTTACCAGCTTACACTGCGAGAATAATGTCACACTATGAAGACCAATCATGTTCTCCACAACAGAGTGAACGCCATTCAATAAATGATCTCAGTTTAACAGATGTCCATGGGAGATAGCTAGTTCGCTCAGTCTGCAACAATACACACACACACACACACACACATCATATACATAACATTTTATAGTGGTTTCTTTGTTCCTTGACTACCTAAACCTACATTAACTCAAAATCTTTGCATGCATAACTGATTAACTTTTAACTTTTATGTTTGACTTGACTCATTGCACTTCCTGCAGCATCACAGCTGATTGAACCTCTCCTGACTGCATTGGTGCTTGTAATGACACTGTTAAAATTCCACTAACTAGCCTATATAACTGCCGCAAAAAATTGACCACCTTTGTGGACTGTCTTGCTCTTGAAGTTGAAGTACTATTGTATGTTTTCTTTAATTTGCAGCATGTTCATTCCAACTGAATGGCAGAAATTCATATGCTATGTTGTAACGACAATGTTTTTGGGGTCACTTCATGGGTAGTATAATGTGAGCTCGAATGGAATGAAGCGGGTTTAAAAGACCAACTCTACGAGATTTTATTTTATTAACAGAACAAGCTTGAATGCTAGGTTGCTCAAAGTGAAATTTCTGAGTTCACTCTTCAAATGATGTGTATATACTCATATTTTACTAATGAACACTGCATAACTTGATTCATACAAATCCCTAAAAAAACATGATCAGATCAATCAACTAAACAGAAAGCAAGAGGAAGTAATCAAAATGACAGATTTCGTTAATATCTAAAAAGATCTTCATTTTTTGAACAAATTTTCCGCTGCACCTTCCAAGTCTCATTTGAGGTGATGTCTGCTTTTTCACCCTTTCGTTCTTCTTCTTGTTTTTCGTTGAATCCATCATCCAAGGCGAACTCAATCTTCTCCATTGTTTTTTACTTTTGAGTTTCTTTAACAATTGATCAACATCAGCAGCAACCTCGCCAATGCTAGAAAACTTGGCAAAATCAACATACGCTTTCCATAACAAATCAGGCCTGTCTAGTGCGGGTAGGTCAAAAGCACGCTGGAAAATCATTCTGGCTCGCTCACTTTCACCTGAAGATCTCTCCATTGCTGCATATTTAATCCAGGAGGAGCAATTTTCAGGTAACCACTCAACAAACCTTTCGAATATCCCCCGAGCGCTCTTTGCTCCATTATATTTCAACTCGAACTCAATATACGATAACCACCCTTGTTGGCTCGGTTGCTGCTTCAACCAGAGCTCAAAGATTATCCCAACAGTTTCAAAATTTCCAAGCAATTCTTCCATATGGATATGCCCTTTCCACAGCTCATCAACCTGAGGCAAAACCCGGACAGCGCTGAGCCATACATGGTAATGAACCCGTTTCTCAACTCGAAATGTGCATATTCCTTCCACATATCAGGATCCTGGCGAAGCCGAGGTACGTACAAGGCTTTTTCCAGGTGCCACGCGCGGCGAGAACGCTGACGCCTTCAGGCCACTTGGTATACTCTTGCTGCCACTTTGCATACTCCACATAAGCGCTTTTGTCGGAAGGGTCCTCGCTTATTAGTTCTTCAGATTGCAAACTATTACATCAATGAATTGTTGTTTGTGCGCCCGGCGTGTGATCTCGTCTTCATATTCCCCCCGACAACTCGGTTCCTGTTTAGGATGGTGAAGGATCATCTCAGCTTGTTTTCGCTTCCGTAAGATCTGCTCCGCTGCAGCTGATTGAATTGGAGACACAGAGTTTGTTTCTTTAAGAAAATTCAGGTGGCCTGATTCTTTGTGAGACCCAAATTCCATTGTGATCTGTGAAATTACTAGAAACGATTTCAATAACAAACAAGTACTGTATTAATTAGTTTCCGGGGTTTGACAAATAGATGGCTAAAAACACACAAACGAAAACGCGGATGAAAAATTTCAGTAGCTCTCATATATAGGGTTTTTTTTTTTGTTTTTTTGTTTCTTTCCCAGAAATAAAAGGATTAAAGAATCCAAATCCTTTTTATTGACAGAATGAAAAAGAAAAACAAAAACAGCGAACCGGAAATTAACATTTTTTTTAAAAAAGAAAAAATAAATTAGAGATCCAAGTCCTAGAACCAGAAGGATAGTGGTTTTTCTTTATATATATACTAGTTATGTCTGGTCGCGCAATGCGCGACCCTGGCCCAGTCTATCTGTAGATCTTAGAAATGTTTATATTTGAAAAAAATAAAATTTTGTATTTGGAGCGATATATTTTAGAAATGTTTGAAGGATTTAGAAATGTTTTATAAGTGTTACTTATTAAATATGAATAGCTTAATCGAATATATGTGTTGAAGTAAATGTTAGATAAAATATAAAAGCATCCTAATAAATTTAAATATTAGTAAGATGATTTATTGACGTTCTCCATTGGTCGTGCCAAATCAATACTTAGTTTTGGAGATTTTTAATAGCTTTGTAATAAACTTCATCCGAAGGGTATACGCTTAAAACAAAATTGACACTTTGTAACAAAAAACCTAATTGATCAATTCAATTTAAAAAACCACTCTAGTTGAATGAAACATAAAGAAAAAATTAAAAAAAAAACGTGTCACGTAAAGTGCAAAGGAAGATTTAGTAATTTAATTATGGTTAGACAAAAGGGCAATTTAATATTTTCTACATGCCACGTGGCAATCATATGAGGTGTTTGAAAGGGAGGTTTTTGTTTCTAATATAGTAGGATATAATAAAAATTGAATGCCACAATGAGAATCAAACCCTCTACCATCTCCATTCTAATTTCCTAATCATCTCACCCGACCCTCCAACTTCAAGATAACGTTTTAGTTTCCTAGACTCAACGATTTACGATTTCTAAACATAAATAGAGTTCCAATTCCACATTGAAAAATCCAGAAGAAGTTTTTCATGTCTTTTGAGCTTAAATAATTAGAAAATAAAATGTATAATGAAAGAAAATAGTGAAAAAAGATACTAACTCATGTAGAGTATTTTTGACCCCTAGTTTTTTATCACTTTCCAGTTAAAATTTTATCTTTCTCCGAAAATTACATTTTCGCCCCTAATTAATTAGTACACATATATAGTGACGATGGTATATTTATCTTTTCATTAGTCACTATTCACTGACTCTATCATTGCTCTCAAATATTGGCATCAGTTTTATGACATAAGCTGAGGCTGTGAAACGATTAATTCCGCTGCTTCTCTAGTTGGGCCACCCGATTCATTAAACAGGACACAAAACCTGGTGAACATGACCTTTACAAATAGTAAAGAAACTTCAGCCACAGAATCGATACCCTCCCCGTCTCATTTTAGCAGTCGACTATACTGAATTAACACAATCCAAGAAAGTAAACTATTAAAATGAGACGGAGATTGTATGTTTCTAAATTCATAACTTTTGAAGGAAAAATTCATCGGAATCAGGATATGGTGAGGTTCCGTGGAATTGTAAAATGCATTAATTTCCACTTCCCATCTGGGGGTCCAAGAGAGCAAGACTGACTTTCAACTCAAAGGGATGATTTGGATTGCTACCTCACCTGGCTCCCATATTTCTTTTTCTTCTTTTTTTTTTTAATTTTTAATCTCTTAAAATAATTTCATACAAGATATATCCAGAAAAATAGATTTCTGAGATCAACATGACTCGGAAGTCAGGAAATCCATTTACTGTTTTTGTAGAAAAAAAAAAAAAAAAAAGAGTTTCCCTCTGTTGAAGTATGAAGGGATCACTAAGCCTGAAATTCATACTGCTTCTAGTTTTGCTGTTTGCATCAACCTGCTCACAGGACTGCAGTGCTGCAGACACAGTTTCTATCACAAATCCTCTTCAAGATTCAGAAACTATATTTTCTTCGGATTTAACCTTCAAGTTGGGATTTTTCAGTCCTGGAAACACCACCAACCGATATGTGGGGATCATGTTTACTGATCCTAAAGCTACTGTTGTTTGGGTGGCTAATAGGGACAAGCCTCTGACTGATTCTTCCGGGGTTCTGACAGTTTTAGCAGACGGAAATCTTGCGGTTTTGAACGGCAAGAAGGAAATACTTTGGTCATCGAATGCGCCAAATCCCGTGGCGAATTCAACTGCTCAACTCCTGGATGATGGTAACTTAGTCTTGAGTGATAATTCAAATGGAAAAAGTGTGTGGGAAAGCTTTCAGAATCCGACAGACTGCTTTCTGCGAACGATGAGGATTGGTGAAGTTGCGAACCGTTCCATCCAACTAACATCATGGAGAAGTCCATCTGATCCATCCATTGGAAACTTCTCTCTTGGTGTCAACCATGGTGGCATCCCGGAACTATTTGCTTGGAACAGAGGCGTCCTTTATTGGCGCAGCGGTCCGTGGAATGGTAACATGTTCATTGGGATACCAGCATCAAATGCTAAGTATACCATTCGATATGATTTCGTGAGAGATGATGCTGGAACAACATACTTCACCTATAACTACATCAATACTACTGTTTTGCTGTTCTATGAACTGAGTTCCTCAGGAGAAATCCTTGAGAAGGAATTAAATGATAATGGAGACTGGAATATATCATTTTCATTTGTGCGTAGTGAATGTGATGAGTATGGAAAATGTGGACCAAACGGAAGATGCGATCCTCACGCTTCGCCAATTTGCTATTGTCTGAAAGGTTTTGAGCCCAGAGACAAGCAAGAATGGAGTAAAGGAAGCTGGCGCGGTGGCTGCACCAGAAAGGCACCTCTGCAGTGTGAGAGAAACAATTCTGTGGGTGAAGGAGATGGATATTTGAGGCTAACAACTGTGAAAGTTCCTGATTTGTCCAACTTTATCGGAACTTCACAAGAAGATTGCGGCAATGACTGCTTGAAGAATTGCATCTGCTCGGCCTATACATATGTTGTGGGCATTGGATGCCTGCACTGGAATGATAGCCTGATAGATATCCAGCAATTTTCTTCATATGGAGCAGATCTATATATTCGTATGGCATCTTCTGAACTAGGTAATGATTTGCAGTTAGTAATTTTGCAGGATGAATGATGTTACGATTAACAACTCTACATCCGCAGCTAACTCTGCAAGATAAGTCTACCCGCAGCTAAGCTTGCAAAAACTTAGTGGTCATAATATGCATCAGCCCGTCAGTGATTATAGATAGTTTGCCTCCAATTCCATTAGCATAATTGTTAATGTTATCCTAAAATTTTCTTCCCAAAAAAAAGAAACAAAAATTCACACCAACCAAGTCCTTAGTTGTCCTGTTGTGGTTTTCTGATACGGAGAACATTACATTTCTAAAATGCAGATCATGCTAAGAGCAAACAGAAAAAGAAAGCTGTTGTCGCAATTACAGTCAGTGCGGGGTGTTTACTCCTTGCATCATTCTTTTTGTGGAATTGGTGTACTAAGCATAGAGGTACCATCTTTATAATTTGTCAGCAACGACTATTGTTATTCCTGTCGCCCACATTTTGCAACAGTTTTTGGTTCACAAATCAGGGAGAGGGAAAGAAGCTGAGTTGGCATTGATGGAACCAGGGGAAGCATGGAAAACAGAAATAAGGACGAGCAACAGTTATGCAAACCCAAAACTTGAAGAGCTGCCACTATACGATTATGAAACGCTAGCGATTGCAACTGAGAGTTTCGCCAGCAAGAATAAACTAGGCCAAGGAGGTTTTGGTCCGGTTTACAAGGTACTTATGTTATCAGGGAAATCCATGGATCAGCAACATAGAAAACAAAGTACACTTTTAAACACTGTACTGCACTTCTGCAGGGAAAACTATCAAATGGTTCCGAAGTTGCAGTAAAGAGGCTTTCAAATTCTTCTAGCCAAGGGTTACAGGAGTTTATGAATGAAGTTTCAGTCATTTCTAAACTGCAACATCGGAATCTTGTCAGACTCCTTGGTTGCTGTATCGAAAAAGAAGAAAAGATGCTAGTCTATGAGTACATGCCTAACACAAGCCTGGACGCGTACATATTTGGTTAGTTACTACTATACAAATTATTGTAGTTGCATTAAAAATTAAAGTTTAGCTTCATTTTAATCCTCCACAAAAAAAAAAAAAACTGACAGCTATATAGTAAATTCTTATGGCACTACTTCTCATAAAGCATATCATACTTCACCGTCACAATCTGCCAATTTTCAGATTTGCGAAAGCAAAAGTTACTAGATTGGAATAGAAGGTGTATGATCGTTGAAGGGATAGGTAGAGGCCTCCTCTACCTTCACAGGGATTCAAGACTCAGAATAATCCATAGAGATCTGAAAGCGAGTAACATCCTCCTTGATGAAGAGCTGAATCCCAAGATATCAGATTTCGGGTTAGCAAGAATTTTTGGAGGCAAACAGGATCAAGCCAATACCAGCAGGGTTGTCGGCACATAGTACGTCTTACATTGGTTTCTGAGACGCATAATCAGTAAAATTTATTGCTAACTAGTTTTGAATTGGATGCTCAGAGATTTTTTTTTTCTTTTTATAATCAGAGAACACGTATTTGAAATTCCTGAGCTTAAAAAACAGTTTCTTCCAACCTAACTGCTATATCTGCGCTCTAATTTATTACTGACACTTTTTTCTCCTTACTGATGGAATGCAGTGGGTATATGGCTCCAGAGTACGCAATGAGAGGAGAATTTTCGGAGAAATCAGATGTCTACAGCTTTGGTGTTTTACTACTGGAGATTATCAGCGGCAGGAGGAATGCCAGCTTCTACCATGATGAGGAGATACTAACCCTGCTAGGATATGTAACCTTCCATTAATGCTGAACTTCCTATCTAAAGAACTTCAACCTTTTAAGAGCTTGCAATTCCTAACGACACACCAAAAGATATAACAGTTATTGGAATGCTCATTACTCAATTTTTTCAGAGTTTTATGAATTCAAAGTAAAAATGAAAACTTGCATACTTTCATATAGTTACACGAATATTATGCTAGCTTTTACACAAGATCCAATACTTTGAGACCCTGATTTTCATCATCTTACCTGAATTTTCAGGCCTGGAAACTCTGGAACGACAATGAAGCAGTAAATCTGGCTTTCACGGAGGGATTTGATCCAAGCACTGAAATGGAAATTCTGAGATATGTGCATGTTGGACTGTTGTGTGTTCAAGAATCTGCGGACAATAGACCAAACATGTCTACTGTTCTTTCGATGCTCAACAGTGAAAATGGGGACCTTCCTCCTCCCAATTTACCAGCTTATACTGCTAGAACAATGTCACCCTTTCAAGAGAACCAATCATGTTCTGTTAATGATCTGAGTGTAACTAATGTCCATGGCAGATAGCTAGCTTTGTCAGCTATGAAAAACACACACGCACAAATACACACACACACACACACACACACACATTAGAGGGAATGATATACAATACTTGTGATTGAGAAACTTCATTAATAGGATGCTATCAGTTCAGGAATGAAGTTCTGTGAGAAACTTAGGTTTATCGTGGTGTTGGTCGGATCATGAGAAAATTGTAAGTTCTGTGAATGAGCATTGAGTCATCAACATGTTTTTCTCCTTCTACATAACATACTAGAGCTTCTGAAGATCATCACGATCCAACCACCGCTGCCATTAGTACTGCATTTGGTTTATCAGGGTTTTCCCCCAGTGAACCTCTAGGAAATAATATCCCTAAACAATGTCTGAAATCACAGCAGAAAATGTAATTGTTTTCCAAAGGTCTTAATTATGCTGACTTCATTTAAGCATTGCATATGAATAGAATAAAAATTCATTAAGGAACTTTTAAGTAAAAATCTTCTTTGTTGAAATTGAAATTGAAATAAAAAAATAAAAATAAAAAAATAAATAAGCAACTTGCTACCGCTGGGCAAATGGTGTTTTTCGGCACCACCCCACATCCTGTTTAAGCCACCATATCCCCCAGCTTATCTAAATTACTATTAATGCTGGTTTTGGCCCCAGCGGCGTCGCCGATGATCGGTGGCTTCCTTGAATGCTTCAACATTCTGGGAAATTGGTTACTGATTGAGTGATCGGATAGTGAGTATTGGAAGTTTCCAAACTTGGAGAGACTATTGAAAGGGATGCCAGATACTATTTTTCAAACCTCTAGGAGAAAAAATTCATGGCAAATCACAATCAGAATGTTGCTGAGGTTTCAGGGAATTGTAAAATGCATTAGTTTCAACTTTCCATATAGGGGGGACCCAGAGACCAGGACTGACTTTCACTAAGGGGATGATGTGTTCATTTTTCGAGCAGACTTGCAGTTGCTTCCTGGCCCCTAGATTTTTTCCACAAGATATATCCAGAAAGATGTCTAAGATGAACCTGAATTGGGAAGTCAGGAAATCAACGTACTATTTTCGCAAACATTACTTTTCCCCTGTAGGAGGAGTAAATATGAAAGGATCTATAAGCCTGATAGGCTTCCTGCTTCCAACTTTGTTGTTTGCTTCATTGGTTTGTTTCCGAGATTGCAGTGCCGTAGACACAATTTCAATCACAAATCCTCTTCATGATCCAGAAACTATTTTCTCCTCAGGCCAAACTTTCAAGTTGGGATTTTTCAGCCCTGGAAAAACCACCAACCGATATGTAGGCATCATGTTTAATGTTCCTGATGCGCCTGTTGTATGGGTGGCTAACAGGGACAAGCCTCTGAATGATTCTTCTGGGGTTCTTTCTATTTCAGAAGAAGGGAATCTTGTGGTTTTGGACGGGAAGAATGCGATACTGTGGTCATCGAACGTGTCAAATCCGGTGGCGAATTCCACTGCTCAACTTCTGGATGATGGTAACTTAGTCTTGATTTATAATAATTCAACTGGAACAAGTGTGTGGGAAAGCTTTCAGAATCCGACAGACACTTTTCTGCGGACGATGAAGATCGGTGAAGTTGCAAACCGTTCTATCCAAATAACCTCATGGACAAGTCCATCTGATCCATCCATAGGAAATTTCTCCCTAGGTGTCAATCATCGAGGCATTCCGGAACTATTTGTTTGGAATAGAGGTGTCCCTTATTGGCGCAGTGGTCCGTGGACTGGTAATATGTTCATTGGGATACCGACATCGAATGCTACCTATTCCATTCGATATGATTTCGTGAGAGATGCCGCAGGGACAACATACTTCACTTATAACTACATCGATACTACTAGTTTGGTGCACGGTAAACTGAGTTCTTCAGGACAACTCGAGCAGAAGGAACTAAATGATAAGAGAGAATGGTATGTATCATATTCATGCGTGAATAGCGAATGTGATAAATATGGCAAATGTGGACCAAATGGAAGATGTGATCCTCAGGCTTCACCAATTTGCTCATGTTTGCAAGGATTTGAACCTAAGAACAGGGAAGAATGGAGCAAAGGAAACTGGAGAAGTGGTTGTTCCAGAAAGGCACCTCTGCAATGTATAAATAATTCTGCTGGACAACAAGGTGAAGGAGATGGCTATTTGAGGCTTACAACTGTCAAAGTTCCTGATCTGTCTAACTTTGTTGAAACTTCAAAAGAAAATTGCGGTATTGATTGCTTGAAGGATTGCTTCTGCTTCGCCTATACGTATGTTGCGGGCATTGGATGCCTGCACTGGAATGATAGCCTGATAGATATACAGCAATTCTCTTCATATGGAGCAGATCTATACATACGTGTGGCGTCTTCTGAATTAGGTAACTATTTACAATGTGCAATTTCACAGGATGAGTGACAGTCCAATTAACTTATTGGCATATAACTCAGCACTGGCTGCAGTGCAATCAACAATTCTACATCTCGCGGCTAAGTCTGGATGTAAAACTCTTATGTTTGTTTCATTTTTTTAGTGTGTGTTTTTAGGTGTTTTTTATATTGGGAATGTAAAAATGTGTATTGGAAATGTAAAAAAGTATGTTCGGATGGGACAGTTATTATTATAATATTTCGCAAATGGGGTTTTGTAAATTGCAAAAAGTTAATAGGTCAATGCTAGAAGACAATCATCAGTTAGCTAGGGCTACTCTAGCTAGTAGTGATTAGAGAAAGGTTGCCTCTGTATGCATTAGCGTTATCGTCATATCTTCTGTATGCATTAGCATTACCGTCATGTCTTAAACATATGTTCAAAAGAAGAACTTATTGAAAATTTCACACCATACAACTAGTCTTTTGTTGTTCTGTTGTGGTTTTCCCATACAGAGCACATAACATTTTTAAAATGCAGATCATGTGAAGAATAAACAGAAAAAGAAAGCAGTTGTTGCAACTACAGCTAGTGTGGGATGTTTACTCCTTGCAGTATCATCTTTCTTTTTGTGGAAATGGTGGATTAAGCACAGAGGTAACATTTCCATCAATTTTTGGTTTACATATCAGTGAAGAGCCAAGAAGCTGAGTTGTCATTGATTGAACCAGGGGAAGCAAGCAAAACAGAAATAACGAGTGACAATTATGAAAAGCCAAAGCTTGAAGAATTGTCAGTGTACGAATATGAAACGCTAGTGAATGCAACAGAGTGTTTCCACAGCAAAAATCAAATAGGCCAAGGAGGTTTTGGTCCGGTTTACAAGGTACTCATATTATTCGGGCAATCAATGGATCAGCGAATAGAAACAAAATAAACTTTAAAACACCATACATATTGTCTGCAGGGAAAGCTTTCAAATGGCAATGAAGTTGCAGTAAAAAGGCTTTCAAATTCTTCTAGCCAAGGTTTACAGGAGTTCATGAATGAAGTTTCAGTCATTTCTAAACTGCAACATCGGAATCTAGTCAGACTCCTTGGTTGCTGCATCGAAAAAGAAGAGAAGATGCTAGTCTATGAGTACATGCCTAACACAAGTCTGGATGCATATATATTTGGTCAGTTGAATGATGTTCTCTTACTATACGAGTTATCGTAGTTCCATAAAAAATTTCAGTTTAACATCATTATAATCCTCCACCAAAACTGGCAACTATATAGTAACAGTCTTATGGCCCTAGTTTTACTAAAGCATATCATACTTCAGTTTCACAATCTGCCAATTTTCAGATCCGCAAAAACAAGAGTTACTTGATTGGAATAGAAGGTGTATCATCATTGAAGGGATAGGTAGAGGCCTCCTCTACCTTCACAGGGATTCAAGACTAAGAATTATCCATAGAGATCTGAAAGCGAGTAACATCCTCCTTGATGAGGAGCTAAATCCCAAGATATCGGATTTTGGGTTAGCAAGAATTTTTGGAGGCAAACAGGATCAAGCCAATACCAACAGGGTTGTAGGCACATTGTAAGTGTCAGAAATATTGTCTTACATCAGTTTCTCAGATACCGCATATTATTCAATAAAATTCTCAGGCAGGGATTTGAAGCTTCTAAGCTACATAATAATATATGAAAGGAACCATTTTTCTTCTCAGCTAGCTGGTATATTAACACTGCATTGACTTTACTTACACTTTATTCCCTTAACTGATGGGATGCAGTGGGTATATGGCACCAGAATACGCTATGAGAGGAGAATTTTCAGAGAAATCAGATGTCTACAGCTTTGGAGTTTTACTGCTGGAGATTATCAGCGGAAGGAGGAATACTAGCTTCTATCATGATGAAGAGAAACTACTAAGCCTGTTAGGATATGTAAGCTTTCCCAAAATTTGAAACTCCCCATCTACATAAACTTCAACCATTGAAGAACTTGCATTAACTTATAAAACACCAGAAGATAAAACACTTTTACCAATGCGCATAACTCATTTTGTCAGTTATATGATTAAATAAAAACCTGCATCACAAATAGTCTTAGATGAAATGTTGCACTAACTTGTTCAGAAGGACCAAAATGTAGTTTCATAACACGGTTTTCATCATACCTCTGAACTTTTAGGCCTGGAAGCTCTGGAACGATAATCAAGCCCTAAATCTGGCTTTTACGGAGGGATTTGATCCAGGCACTGAAATGGAAATCCTGAGATGTGTGCATGTGGCACTGTTGTGTGTCCAAGAATCTGCAGACGAGAGACCAAACATGTTTACTGTTCTTCTGATGCTGAACAGCGAAATCGGAGACCTTCCTCCTCCAAAGTTACCAGCTTATACTGCCAGAACAATGTCACCCTTTGAAGAGTACCAGTCATGTTCTATTAATGATCTCAGTTTAACTGATGTCCATGGCAGATAGCTCTATCAGCTACTAGAAAGCGCGGTTACGGGTTTCCTTTTGTTCGTAACATACAAAAGCTAGCTCCATGGATATGGCTCAATTAGAATTACTTTTTTTGTGATTTGATCTACATACTAATGTCTGCAGTCACAGCAGAAAATGTGATAGTTTTCCAAAGTTGTTAAAGATTGTGACTTTATTTAAGCATCGCAAATGAACAATATCAAAATGCCCTAAAATATCTGAAACCATATCAAAACAATAAGCATATGATGGCCAAATAGGGGAAACAACACAAGTACTACGAAACCCTTTCCCGGGAAAAATAAAAAAAGAAAAAAAAATCTTCTCTGGAATTGAAATTTTATAAAATTAATAAGCGACTCACTCCTGCTGGCCAATTGGGCCGATGTGGAAAACTGCTGAGGGTTTCGGCACCGGAAGAGTCTGAGCTAGGAGAGACTGGCAGAGAGCGGCGTCGCTGATGAACGGCGGCGTCCTTGCCTGACATTCAGGGCAATTGACTACTGAATGATTATTGAAACGACTTTGTCAAATGTAGTGTTGAATATTCTACCATCCCTTTTTGTTTTGTTTTATAAATTAACTAGATGTTAAACCCGCGCGATATACGGGATTTATCATAACCTTATAATAAAATTAAAAAAATAAAAAATAAAAATGTGACAAACACAAATGATGTTAATGAGTTGTGATTGTATAGATAATAATGTGAAATTATAAGAACTCCTTATAAATACAAAAATATAAATATTACATATCATATCAAATTAAATATTGTGTAGATTGTGAGAATGTTTAACCTTGGTCGTGATGAAAGTAAAGATTATACATAGTAGTCTAAAAGAACCTGGACCCTAAACAAATTAAATTTCATTTTGTGCAAATTGAGGAATGCCGACGATGATTGTTATTTGTTGCTCTTTGAGTTGATTTTTTTGGCAAATTATTGGTTGTTGATATTTTCCTAATTCCATCTCCCTTAGTTTTTGAAGAATATGGTAATAAGAAATTATATTTTAATTAATTTATATTAATTAAATTTATGAGAGCTTTGTTTGATAATACATAAAGTTTTTTTTTAAATTCATGAAATAAGCTTTATTCTATGTGGCACTCTAATAAGGTTTAACCAGTTTTTCTCTCCCGTTTCTCCTTTATATTATACTATAGAAGATAGATAGATATAGATAGATGGTGGATCGCAATCAGAAGGTTCAATCTTTCCCGGAATAGAAAAAATGCATGAGTTTCCACTTTCCATGAGGGGGGACCAAGGCTGACTTTCACCAAAAGGGGGATGATTTGGACATCAGTGGCAGTGGTGTTTCGTATCGAACAAAGTTATATCCAGAAACAAAAGATGTGTAAGATGAACATGAATCAGGAAGTCAACAAATCCGTGTACTTTTTCTGCAAACAAAGTTTTCCCTCTTTAGGAATAGTACATATGAAGGGATCAATAAGCCTGATTAGCTTAATGCTTCTAGTTCTGCTGTTTGCATCAATCTGTTCAAAAGTTTGCAATGCTGCAGACACAGTTTCAACCACAAATCCGCTTCACGATTCAGAAACTATAATTTCCTCAGGTCAAACCTTCAGGCTGGGATTTTTCAGCCCTGGAAATTCCACCAACCGATATGTGGGAATCATGTTCAATGCTCCTGATGCGCCAGTTGTATGGGTGGCTAACAGGGACAAGCCTCTGACTGATTCTTCCGGGGTTCTTACTATTTCAGGAGATGGGAATCTTGTGGTTTTGAATGGTAAGAAGGAGATGCTGTGGTCGTCGAATGCGTCAAATCCGGTGGCCAACTCCACTGCTCAACTCCAGGATAATGGTAACTTAGTCTTGAGTGATAACTCAACTGGAACAAGTCTGTGGGAAAGCTTTCAGAATCCTACAAACTGTTATCTGCGAACGATGAGGATTGGTGAAGTTGCAAACCGTTCCATCCAACTAACATCATGGAGAAGTCCATCCGATCCATCCGTTGGAAATTTCTCTCTTGGTGTCAACCCTCTGCGCATCCCGGAACTGTATGTTTGGAATAGAGGTGTTCTTTATTGGCGCAGTGGTCCATGGGATGGTAATATATTGATCGGGATACCAGTTATGAATAAACTCTTTAGAAATCGATATGATCTCACGAGAGATGAGCCTGGAACAAGATACTTTACATATACCTACGTGAATACTAATAGTTTGTTGCACTATGAACTGAGTCCCTCAGGAAATATGCAGGAGAAGAAATTAACTGATAATGGAGACTGGAATATATCATATTCATTTGTGAGTAGTGAATGTGATGAATATGGAAAATGTGGACCAAATGGAAGATGTGATCCTCAGGGTTCACCAATTTGTTTATGTTTGCAAGGATTTGAGCCCAGGGATATGGCGGAATGGAGTAAAGGAAACTGGAGTGGTGGCTGCTTCAGAAAGACACCTTTGCAATGTCAGAGAAACAATTCTGCTGATGAAGGAGATGGCTTTTTGAAGCTTGAAAACGCCAAAGTTCCTGATTTGTCTAATCCAATAGTAACTTCACGAGAAAGTTGTGCCGATGATTGCCTCAAGGAATGCTTCTGCTCAGCCTACACATATGTTGTGGGCATTGGATGCCTGCACTGGAATGATAGCCTGGTAGATATTCAGCAATTCTCTTCATATGGAGCAGATCTATACATTCGTGTGGCGTTTTCTGAACTAGGTAACTTTTTACAATGTAAAATTTTGCAGGATGAATGATTGGCAAATAACTCAACACTCGCTGCAGCGAGTGAACAACTCTACATTCCCTGCTAAGTCTGGTAGATTAATCATTCCAAGTCATAAAGTTTTTAACTTCGCAAACAAGGTTTTGTAATTTGCAAAAAGTTAGTAGATCAGAAGTAGAAAATATGCATCAGTTAGCTAGGGCGTGATTAGAGATCCATGTGCATTTCATTATTATTAATGTTATATTAAAAGTTTCTTCTAAAAAACACAGGGGGAAAAAAACTGATTGACAGTCACGCCATACTAGTCTTTTGTTTTTCTTTTGTTGTGGTTTACTCATTCAGAATACATAACATTGCTAAAATGCAGACCATGCTAAGGGCAAACCAATAAAGATAGCAGTCGTGGCGACTACAGTTAGTGTGGGATGTTTGCTCCTTGCATCATTCATTTTGTGGAAGTGGTGCATTAAGCGTAAAGGTAAAAAAGCTAATTTTTTTCAGAAATGACTGTTGTATTGGTTTCGACCCAGTTTACGTCAATTTTTGGATCACAATTCAGGGAAGGCGAAAGAAGCTGAGTTGGCATTGATTGAACCAGGGGAAGCATGGAAAACAGAAATGATGCCGAGTGACAATTATGAAAAGCCAAAGCTTGAGGAGCTGCCTCTATACGATTATGAAACGCTAGCGAATTCAACTGAGAGTTTCCACAGCAAAAACAAACTAGGTCAAGGAGGTTTTGGTCCAGTTTACAAGGTACTCAGTATTGCTTGGGAAATCAAAAGATCAGCAACATAGAAACAAACTAATCTCTTAAACACCATACATATTACACTTCTGCAGGGAAAGCTTTCAAATAGCATTGAAGTTGCAGTGAAAAGGCTTTCACATTCTTCTAGCCAAGGGTTACAGGAGTTTATGAATGAAGTTTCGGTCATTTCTAAACTTCAACATCGGAATCTTGTCAGGCTTCTTGGTTGCTGTATCGAAAAAGAAGAAAAGATGCTAGTCTACGAGTACATGCCTAATACAAGCCTGGATGCCTATATATTCGGTTAGTTGAATGATGTTATCTTACCATATGAGTTATCATTATATAGTTCCATAATTTTTTTTTAGTTTAGTGTTGTTTAAATCCTCCCTGGAAACCGGATACTGAATAGTAACATCCTTATTGTGGCAACTAGTTATAAAGCATAACATATTTCACTTTCACAATCTGCCAATTTTCAGATTCTCGAAAACAAGAATTACTAGATTGGAATAGAAGGTGTGTCATCATTGAAGGGATAGGTAGAGGCCTTCTCTACCTTCACAGGGATTCAAGACTGAGAATTATCCATAGAGATCTGAAAGCGAGTAACATCCTCCTTGATGAAGAGCTAAATCCCAAGATATCGGATTTTGGGTTAGCAAGAATTTTTGGAGGCAAACAGGATCAAGCCAATACCAACAGGGTTGTAGGCACATTGTAAGTGTCAGAAATATTTTCTTACATTGGTTTCTCAGGCACTTAATTTTTCATTGATAGATGCTCAGAATTATTAGTAGAAAACACTGTATTTGAAGTTCCTTAGCCATAATGTACTCCCTCCGTCCCATAATTATTATCCAGTTTGAGTTTTCATTTTTAGTTCAAATTGTACTAAAAGTAAAATCTCAAACTGGACAATAATTTTGGGACAGAGGGAGTACATGAATAAAAGAAACTTATTTCATTTCCCGCTAACATGTTTTTAAGTTTCTTTTATATATCAACACTATTGATTTCACTGACAATTTTTTCTCCTCACTGATGAAATGCAGTGGCTATATGGCTCCAGAATACGCAATGAGAGGAGAATTTTCTGAGAAATCCGATGTCTACAGCTTTGGTGTTTTACTACTGGAGATTATCAGCGGAAGGAGGAACACTAGCTTCCATCATGATGAGGAGAAACTGAGCCTGCTAGGATATGTAAGCTTCCGCGAAATTTAAACCTCCAATCTAAAGAAACTTCAGCCATTTCCAAACCAGCATTCCATAACACCAAAAGATATAACACTTCTTCGAATACTCATTACTCATATTGTTAGTGTTGTATGATAAAATAACAAAACACAAGCATCATAGTTTCAATAAGTGTAACACGAATTATTACATACAGTTCTACACAAGATCCAAATTGTAGTTCCACGAGATGTTTTTTCATCATATCTCTAAAATTTCAGGCCTGGAAACTCTGGAACAATGATCAAGCTGTAAATTTAGCTTTTACCGAAGGACTCGATCC